ATAGTTGTCATTTATATTTTGAATGGATAAATTATTGTTTGTCATAACGTACAGCTAATATTTCCAATCAAACAATAGCGAGGTAGGCTTGTATAATCATCGAGAAATATTTAATGTATTTGATGGACATTATTATGAGTTAGAACGATTGTCATTTGTATTTTACATCGATGACTTATTGTTTATCAAAAGACACAGAAGATATATCCGACGAACAAAACACAGAGATGTATTCGCAATCACTAAAAAAACATGTGTTAGATGCAAGTTTGTCAGAGTTTCTTTCATTAAAATTGCAACTAATATACTATTTGGTTCATCGTGTATAATGCTGTAACTTTGAGTGAATAACAACAGCTTTGAAGGTGAGCTATGAACGTTATTTTGATCATATTTCTAACTATTCTGAAGCTCTTTGAAAAAGGTGAATATCGTTGACACTAAATTTTAGTGTGAAATTTCGCTCAAATGAATGCTACTTTGGGCATGCCGAAAATAGTAGCACCGCCATTTTATTTCTGCAACAGAGAGCTTGATTGAATTTTCTTTTCCTATGTAGTGATAGAGGAAACGATGCTTTATTTTTCTGTGTCCTTTGTTCACTTTTCAACTAATATCATAATAATAAAATTTCGATAAGAAGTATTTTTGTGTACAATTTCATCAATATAAGAGGGTGACTAAATGGCAACGCTTTCCATTCCAATTTTTAATTACTTAATATAAGTTGTTTGAGAAATATCAAATATATCACTAGATACAGCGTGAAGAGTTCAACAATTTTTGAAGAAGAGCTTATTTTAATTTTTGAAATAAAAGATACTAGGTAATATAATGAATAAATAAGAAAAAATCAATTGATCCTGCAACAGAAAATATATCGTTTTTGCAAAGTCAAAAATTGATCGTTCAAAATCTTAGTCATTATGATAACAAAAAAATGTATTAGGAAAATAAGTCATCTTATGTAAATTGTAGAGCTTTTCACGCTACATCTAGTAATATATTTTATTTTTCTCATACAATCTATTAAGTGATTAAAAATTGGAATGCAAAACGTTGCCATTTAGTTACCCTCTTATATTGGTGAAGTTGTACACAAAAATAGTTCTTATCGAAATTTTATTATTATGATATTAGTTGAAAAGTGATCAAATGGCACAGAAAAATAAAGCATCGTTTCCTCTATCACTAAATAAGAAAAGAAAATTTAATCTAACTTTCTATTACAGAAATAAGATGACGACACCACTACTTATGATATACCCTAATTAAGTACTAATCTGTTACTGTAAGGAATAGAGCTTCTTGAGTGGCACTTTAAATACATAAACCCAATATTGACACATATTTATCGAAAAATTCGCTCGAAAGAAGATGAAATTTGTAGCTGCCATAATTCGCATTGCCCCATGTTCAAAATTTAAGAGACATCACTGTTTTTGTATTTTATCTTCTTTCAGAATGTGTGTACGATCTGTTTAATATCAAACATCAGCATCTTAGAAGACCATTGGCATTTTTAATGATCTTTGTCATATTGTATTTTAATTGGCACTAGCCACATTCTAAGATCTTCACATTTTCATTGGTGTATTCATAATCATATAAGAAAACAGCTGGAGAGAGAAAAACTCATAAAGAAGAATCAGAGAGCGTGAAAATAAGAGAGAAACAACAAGAGAGATAAAGAAAAAAGAGAAAAAAATCAAACCAAGAAAAAAGTAAGAACAGAAGATAAAAGCAACGAACATCCTTGATAATTTCACACTTCGAAAATAAACGAAACAGTTAAGCGACAAAAAAGGTAAGTGCTGTGTTTTAGCGATTGGATTGTACACGGGATTGCAATTTTTCATTAATTAAAAGCTTGTCTCTATATTGGGATATAAATATAGAAGAGCAGCGATATAGAGTTGCAGATCTTTAGAGGCATAGATACATTAAAGAAGTAAAGCCACACAGATTATGGAGATATTCAGGACGCTACATGCATCAATAAAGGCAGCTCTTTCCTAGAGTTTTGGTCACATTTTGAACATGTTCCTGTAACGAAAAACTATTAGTAAATATGATTTCGATAATTTTTTTATTACAAGTTCATCGAAATGATACGACTTCAACTCGACTCCCTGATTTAAATATTAGGGTGATCAATGTAAATTTGCAAAACTTTATTAGATAGACTAAACATGTGCTTACATACCACAACAAATAAGACGAGAGCGCGAAAATTTAAAAATTGAATAGTTGAAAGCTAAATACAAAGGAAAGAAATATTCTCGTTAAGAAATCTATTTTTTAAAAATTTTAGCCAAAGGCCTAATCACATCAGTCCAAGTTAGTTCGTATTGCTAGCGTTCAGTTTTTGATGTTCTTTCTAAAAAAAAAAAAGTTATTTTTTATTGTCTGCATAAGATCAAAATTTTCGAAAGGGTGCCTGCAAAAAAAAGGCTAACTGATTAGAAAGACTAATAAAACTGAACAACATATAGGGGTTTTACCAAAATAATTTTAATCGAAATTTTCAGTAAATATTGCTAAGAATTCATTTTACAAAATAGACAAAAAAGATTTTTCATTTATTCAAAACATAATATTTTTCTTGATTATTTTCGTTCTTCCTCATCAAGCTACTTCACAAGCACCTATAATGAACACGTGTTGGCGAAGCAATTTTCTGAATTAAAAAAAACATGCTTGAAAAGAAACTGATATTCACAAAGGTTCAAAAATCATTGTTAAGTTTTTGTACAATCAATTCTTAAAAACTTTTAGTCAGAATTTAGAATAGATTAGAAGGAAAGTTTTATTTATTGTTTCAACTCATGAATCTTTCTAATAATAATTATTTTTTTTTTTGATGAGAATAACATAGAAAATGTTGACCTATTTGAATCGATAGAAAAAAAATTAGTTTTACCTATTCGAACCAAATACCACCAAGCAGTTTGATTTTCAAATAATAGAAAAGATTACTTAATAAAATCAAGTTAGAAGTGATTGGAAAAGGATATGATACTATAAATACGAACAAATTTTCTGAATATTGTATTGACACTTAAATTTCTTTATATTTTTATTTTGTTTTTCATAGATTTATTTTAGTTATGGTTTTGAAGAACGCTTCAAGTTCTTATCATCTGTGTAGAGCATTTTCTCTGCGTTTGGTTATATGAGAGTATTTTATAAACTTTTGCTTGGAAACACAGCATACTTCGTACTTATGTTTTAGGATAATAATCTGCTTTTCACACTCTTTTCAACGATAATAATTAGTCTTGCGAATTCGACTTTTAGTCGATTTCTTTTCGACCAATCACTACGAAAGTAAAAATAAAAAGTGATGTTAACTATTAACACTATTTCTAAAAAAAGCCTTTGGTGTGGTTGTTGGTGTGACTCTTCTTTTCAGTTAAGTACATGCCCACAGCCCTACTCACAGTGAGTTGCAAGCGTACGTCTATATATGAAAATTTACAGATCGCCGTAGAAAATCTGTATTGCACTGGCTTACTGCCGTTAATAGAGCTTTTTGTTCGCCATGGGTTGTGATCAGTTAATTAATGTATTTAAATCGATGCTCTAGCAACATTAACAGTCATAACCTTGACATATTCGTAAACTTTTCCATCTGATCAAAGAGAAATTACGTGGCAAAATTTTTTTACTTTCTTTTCTAACGAAATAAATGATTATTATCTACAATTTTATACCTAAGATAAATTTTTTCTGTAGTATCTTATGTGTGAATATTTGCATGTCAATCGTTTGATTTTTGAAGTATAATGTGCGAGTCAATTATATACATACTATGCGGTATATTTCGTTGAAAAAAAAATCAACATCAGATGATTATTTATCTTGTGTGAACATAATGTAGCCCATTGTTTTGTTTTCGACATAGTATATAATAACTTGTAAAACGAAGAGCACACAAATTTTCTCCTAGTTCAATCAAAAATCAGAAATATACATCTATACCTTTTGATGCGATTCGTAAATATTTTTATACGATTTAATTCAAACTTGATGCATCTATCCTTTCCTTCAGATCATACGAAAGTTTTCACTCTTACGATTGAATCAAATGACATCATCAATGTGTGAAAAGCAAGAAGAAAATCAATATAAAGTTTTCGTAGAAAGTTCAGAACCAAAAGAACTGCTGCCATTACCGTAGGTATTTTTAACAGGTAATCAATTATGCGAAATATGTACTACTCTTGTTGTTATCAGCTCATGGCGATCATCTACAGTTCGAACAATGCAACGCAAAACTCTTTTTACAATTTGCTTGACACTGCTCATCGTTGTCGGTACGATAGCGGTAGTTATTCGCCATTGTGAAAATCTAAGTAAGCAAATTTTAACACATCAGAAAAGTAACATGTCATCATCTAATAATAAAAATTGATTATGAATTCTAGAATTAGCCATTGATTGGTATTCAAATGATAATTTGCTGATGAAAATCAAAGGATCATTGACTTCAATTAATGTAAGAATATTTTGCTGACTGATATGCGTAAATTCCTTCCATCGATGCAGTGAAATTATAAATCTTTCAATATTTAGACACATCCAAGAGCACGTGTGAATATCGATACAACATTTGGAGTAGCAGAAAAGAACGATGGGGATCAAGCTTTACCACATTTGCAAAACAAATACAAGAGACATGCGAGAAGACGATATAGTGAATGTCAAAGTAATAAAGATGATTGATTCCTAACTTCATTCAAATATAATGAAAATATGGAACAGTAGTCAATCTATTCTATATATCAAACATCCTAAGAAAAACATCGATAGAGTTTTAACAATTCTCTGACATTAGCCATTTTCATTGATATATTACGAGTCATAGAATTTTCAGCTACAGTAACAGAAAAAGCGTGTGTGTGTATGTGCATTCAATGATAGTTTCTAATAGAAATACAGATAGGATTAAGTGAATAGTAATTGATACTTTCTGTAGCTGTTGATAAGCGCTCACTTTCTTCTCATCAAATAATTTAATTGTAGAAAAACATAGGTCCATATACGATTATATCGTTGTTGGATCGGGTCCCGGTGGTACAACAATCGCTACACGTTTAGCATTGAACAATTTTAAAGTGTTATTAATTGAAGCTGGTCCTGACTATGATGATGGTGTTACGAGAACACCAGTATTTTGGCCATCAGCTCAACTAAACCCTAAAATAACCGGTCATTTTCATCCGTACACCTTTTCTGAAGACGACAATATAACAATAGATTATCCAAGAGGAATTACATTAGGTGGTAGTGCACAAATTAATGTCATGGTAGCAATGACGGCAAATCCATCGGAATGGGATTATATATCACAAGTCACTGGTGATTATAACTGGAGTTCTGAAATGATTAAAAGAAAATATCTAAAATTAACTGAAAATTGTCAATATTGTACCAGGAGAGATAATGACAAGAATAAAAATGGTTGGTTAAATATTTCAATAGCAGCTTATCGAGATCCATTACCACTGCATCAGACAAATCCTGTTCTTTATGATTTATTAGACAAAGTTAAATCACAATATCAGTTTAATCCCAATATCAATTATGAAAATTTTTATGATAGTTACTTCTTTGGACCTGAATCAGTTACTGAGGAGACGGGCACAAGAGGTAGTACTTATAGACGTATAAAAAATGTTCAATCGATGAAAAAATCGAATTTATGTGTATGGACGGATACTTTTGTTACAAAATTGATTATTGATCCTAGGACAAAAGAAGCATGCGGAGTCGAATATGTTAAAGGTTCATATTTATACCATGCTAGTCCATTATCATCCTCTTCTTCAAACAGTAATAATATTCGAAAATCCTCAATCTATGCGAAACGTGAAATAATTGTGTCAGGCGGACAATGGATGACACCACAATTGTTACAACTCAGTGGCATTGGTGATCGAAATCTTTTAAGACAATTTGGAATTCGTACTATACAACATTTACCAGGTGTTGGTGTCAATCAACAGGATCGTTTAGAATCAACTTATGTGGTTAAATTAAAAAGTGGTGTGAATATGGCTGGAATAAGAAGTGTCAATTGTACATATAATACAACACATGTTGATCCATGTTTAATTGATTATATAAAGCATCCTAGAACTAGTCCTTATTCAGCAAATAGTGGTCTTTTTATGATGCTTCAATCGACTCAACCAATACGACCAAATTTTCCTGATACTGCATATGTCTTCTTACCATTACGATTTACTGGTTTTAGAGAAAATTGGGTACAAGAAGCGTTTCAATACCCAGTAGGAGCATACTTAACAGTTATTGTGAATTTAGCACGTGTTACAAATAATTTGGGTTCTGTTCGCATTCAATCTACAAATGCATTTGAGACACCATTAATTCAAATGAATCGTTTTACAGGTCCAAGTAAACAGATTGAATTAAATAGAATAAAACAAAGTATTTGGTATTTACGAAATTTAATATTAAACAGTCCATTCTCTAAATATGTTGATTATGAAGAACTTCCTGGTAGTAATATACAAACTGATGAAGAATTAGAACAATTCATACGGGAATATGTATGGTCACATCATGCTTGTTGTACAGCTAAAATGGGTAATACTAGAAGAGATCCATTAGCTGTACTCAATTCTAAAGGACAAGTCAAAGGCATAAAAAATTTACGTGTCTGTGATATATCAATATTTCCAAAAATACCCAGTTATTATCCATTTATGTCGGTCATAACAGCATGCGAAAAGATAGCTGATGATATTATCAAACGAGCCAAATACTGAATCTTTTTTTCTTAATACTTTTTAAAAATATAGATGTGAATGTGTGGCTAAAAAGAATGCATACCCACATTCACATTCTTTTTGAAATTTTAAAATAAAAGCTGCAAATAAAGAAAGATTAGTTCTATCATCATTATTTTAAATTTCGTTGATTTACCACTATATATTTGAAAGACATACACTTTATTTCTTTTGTTTCTTATCAATATGGAATCCGTGGCTGAGTGAGTCCCAGTGAAGAGAAGACTCTTATTTTCACCCAGCCACCATGAAGATAGTGACAGAAGATTTCCTATGAAATTTTCGTCGATGATTATTTGAACGAAGATTTTACTTCGGATTCATTTTCAATTGATCTAATCTTGTTAATTTCGTTTCTCATTTCATACTGTCGATTAATCATTGATTGAAAATCAAATGAGTAACAGTAGATTGATCGGATCAAATAGTGAAAGTCTTTTTTTTTCTTGAAGAAGCGTCTCGTTCAGGGTTGCCAAATTCAAATTTTGAAAATCAAGAGATTTTTGTAAAAAAAAAACAGGAGTTTTCGGGAGATTTATTTTTCTAGAACAGGAGAAAAATCAGGAGATTTTTCTTTGAAGTTCACGTGTGATTTATGATTTTCAGTTCATGAAATTCTACTTTTCGTCCATAAACTCAACTTACTCTTCCAGCTGAAGGTGATGGTAAAAGAATTTTCGTATTATTGAGTTAAAATTAGAGAAAGATAATCATTCATTTAATGACAATGTTTATCTGGTAATAAAATCTGTTTTAAACGACCTCGTTTATTTAAACAATATTTATAAGACTTTGGACAAACGTAACGACTATTCATTTTAATTGTTAATTTCTCGAACTGAATTTCCTTTCATTGTATTGTGATTATCATCTGATAAATATTTGATATGTAAAAGAAATTATTAATAACGACAAATTAGGTTTCTGTGCTGGACATTATACCAATTGAATGCTGCAATAGACATTTAGTCTCTTTGAATCTTTTGTCGTTTTAAAATTCTTCTGTGAAGAAAAAAACACAAAATTCCTCAGTCTTTGATTTTCTTTTTAATTATTTATAATTACTATGACTATGATAGGTCTTACCCAGTTTTACCCTGAAAAGTTTAATTTTTAATTGATTTTCTAATTTCTCAGGTCAATAGATTGTTAAAGAATAGTATTGACCTTTTCATATACTTTCACCTATGACGCTGCAACATCAATTTATATTTAGTCACATAAGCTGAAATATCTATAAACTAGATTAAAATCTCATGGAAACCAATTTTTATTGATTAAAAGTTGATACAAATCAATTGAAATCGATTCGAATTTGCTGAAATCAAATAAAACAAGTTTAATTCAGAAAATCTAGGTAAAACCCTCTGATTTTGATCGACTTTTAATCGAAGAAAAATCGATTGCAATACAGAATTTTTCGTCGTTTTTTTTATACGACTGGCTTTTATCGTCAAGTAAGAAAAAAAAACTAAAATCAGGAGAAATCAGGAGTCTTCTGGTGAAATCAAGAGATTTGGTAACCCTGATCTCGTTTTTTTTCTTCAAATGAAAACGAATGAACCAACTGTTATCTTTGTCTAGAAATGATTTCAAAGAACAAAAAGTGAAATTATTCCATTAGATTAGTTAAACAATGACATTAATGAAAACTATTTCCGATGATATAATGGTCAAATGAACACTGAAAACGATTTCTATTGATCAAATCAAAGAAGTTTTCCTATAATTCAGTCTATTCAAACTCAATGTTCAATTTTTCATCAATTTCAATTAAATAAAAAAATTTCTTCGTAGAGATCTGACAATAAAACGATTTGAAATGAAGAATACGAATGAATGAGAAGATTATTATGATTGAAAGGAGTTTTTTTCTTTACATAGAATATTGATTGGATTTGTTCCTTATGTTTGTAAATCAATCGAATGAAAAACAACACGTTCTCACAAATACTCTTTGAAATATTTGATAAATCACATCTGAATTCATTAAAATAAATAAACCATTTTGAAGAAATTCCATCAAGTTTCTGATGAGAAAAGAAAAGATTTCATCTGTCTTATCATTAATTTGGCGACATTCTTTCTAAAACGTATCGAAGATGATATTGCATGTTCAGTGAAATTTTCAATTAAATTCTATTCGACAAACTTTTGAAAAAAAGGTTTTCAAAGAGATATTTTCTTTTAAAAAACGGTTTGTTTCTCAGCTGTCAGAGAAAATCGAAAGAGATAAATATTGAAGAGATTCTTTTGTTAGAAAAACCCAATCATTTTTTACAAGAATTTTCCAGAAGAAATTTTCATTCGAATCTAAATACAGGAAAAATAAAAAGGAAAATAAAAATGGGGCCGAAATTTATGAAACACTCTTTATGTTCTTAGTTATTGTACAAACACATAGTACAAATCCAAGCCAACGTATCGCAACATATCACTGTTGCATAATAGCGTACTGTTCATTTCGCTAGAGAAATTTACAAGTTAAATTAGATGTGAATACAGATAATTTGATATTTTTTATAATTTTTAGCGGAAAAGCAGAGCTAACTTTTAATTACTTTCCAAAAAAATAAAGATATTTCTCAAGCTGTCATGATGCTAGAGTAGAAATTTGCGTCGCCATCTGCAGAAAAACGATTTCTGTTCTGTAAAGGAGTTGATAAAGATTGGGGTTCCATTTCAAAGCACTACTGCACTTCTAATTGTTCAGGTTCGTACAGATCACCACCAAAATAGAAGTAGAAAATACACAGGTATACATCTAATAGTGCCATTGATTGGTTCTGCAAGATCGAATTCAATATACAAGCACTTGATTATTCAGTCAAGGGTTCAGCGAGTCGAAGCGACGAGCGTTACTTGTTTGATAGTTCCTTCAATAAGAACTCTTGTCCATTGGTGACTCTCTTCTAAGTGTATGTAGTCTATTATTCCTTGCTAGTCGATTTTTCCAAAGAAGAAGACTTTTACTAGGCACCTGCTAACATTTAGACTAACTAACCTTGGAGATTCAAAATATTTCCTCATCATGGAATATCTTTCTCCCACTGGTGACACAACGTATTAAGATTTATGTAATTAAGCTGATGATCAATATATCTGCATATCAACACCTAACCATTGGCCATATCGCTCGTCGTGACATGTGGACAGGATGTAATCGGCTTACAGAGAAGCAACCATTTTTCTCTAAGCGAATCGTTCATGTATGTTTAATCACCGTTTCATTCGATAATATTAATGAAAAGAACTGCAAAAGAAAGTCTTGTTCATTTCAGCTCGAATACAACGGCAGAGAACATGACGGATTCACTGATCTTAGTCGGTGCTCAGCTAACCCGAATTATTCTTCCCGTGCTTATCATCGTGGGTATCATAGGCAACTCCCTCAACATTGCAGTACTTGTACGACCTGCATTTTATCCTCATGCTTGTTCTCGCTATTTACTTGCTGCTGCTATCAACAATGTGTTCTACTCGAGCGTTGTACTTACCTATCAACTACTGGTGACTGGTTATCAACTTGATCCAAGTATCGTTTCAGTGATCATCTGTAAAGTAATGACGTATGTTTTTCATGTATCGGCCTTCATTTCTCCTTACAGTATCGTGCTCGCTTCGATGGAGCGATATTTTGCTAGCTCAACAAGTGTTCATCTACGAAGATTTAGCAGTGTTCGTGTTCCTCGTTGGGCGATTGGCTTCGTCGTTAGCTTTTTTACACTTTTCGGCATTAATACGTTTGTATTGACCACTGCACGAGCAGATGATGGGCTTGGATGTCGAATTCCAGATGACATAATCTATAATCAAATATATGTGGTCATACAAGCTACGTTGTATGCTATTATCGCACCATGTCTAATGGCGCTATTCGGTTACTTGACTATGCGCAATTTGAGACAAGTTCGTGTCGTTCCAGTTGTGGTGTCACGTCATCGTCGTACTGAGCGTCAACTTGCTCGTATGCTTCTACTTCAAGTAGGTATTTATATTATTCTCAATTTTCCAGTGAGTATAACTTACCTGATAGCAATAATGCCAGTTGCTTTTAAGGCGACACCTACCTTTTCTTTGATTTATACCGTCACCTTCACCCTCACCTATGCTTTTAACAGCACAAGTTTCATCGCATACATACTTGGCACTCGAGGATATAGAGAAGAATTCATGCTGATTCTGAGAAAAATCTTTTGCCTTAATCATGGTGTTGGTAATCGCGTTGGAAGTCAAACGAGAGCAAATCAAACTATTGGTCAAACAATTGCCATCATAGCTTCCAATCGACAGAATAATACTGCTGAACAAACATTTACGCAATAATATTCGCCGCTCTAACAGACTTTTCATTGTCAAAAATTTCATTTTTTTTATCTACTCAATAAATCAAAGGTTTTTGACTTAGAAGAGTAAAATCGTTTCTATCAAGCTATTTAGCGACTTCACAACAAAGCTTTTCTTAACATTTGTTCTCATTATGTACCGAGGTTATGACGAAAGCCAGTTGAGATTTTGAAAAATGTTTCGTTGTTTCTAATTGGGGTATTTTCAAATGTCCACAAACACTAAATAACGTTGACAAATAACTGTTTCAGAGAAACAAGCAGCATATTTTTTTGGATCAGTTCGATAATTCACTTTCCACTTCTATTATATACGGATGTCGCATGAAGATACAACACTCACGTTTATATCAGGTAACTACGAACTCGGTGATTGTGAATTTGGTACAGTCTGAAATAGAACTTGACAATAATATGCTAACTGTTTACTGAGGTTTTCTCACTTGAATTTTTTTTCATGCTTTGCGTTGTCGATGATCAAGCTCATGTTCACCGGTACCTCGATGTTGATTCTCTGTTCTAAATTGGTTAGATTGAACACCATTGGTGTCAGTATAAATATTCCAGTCAAAACTATCATCATGCACAACAGATCCATCGTAACATTTTGACATGAAATGTGATTATGTGCGT